TAAAAAAACATAAGCAAACCTCATGTCAACATGCTTACTGCTTTTTCCTTCTTCCTTCTGCTTCCATTGTTTTTCAATCTGGCTTTCACACCAAGTCTACTTAAATAGCTCTCTCTTAAATATGACATACTATGGCTTTCTCTTAGCTATTTTTTTTCCTTGAAATCTGAACCACTTATTCTTAAAACATGTCTTAAAACATGACACTACTTATACTTAATACTACTTCTGTTTTTTATCACAATGTATCATCCTTTGCTCTTAATTCCATTTCTTTACTGATTTTCTCAACAGTTATTTATGGGATGCCTGTTACAGACACTGAAGTGCAGATCGTTCGGACTCTGTAGAGAGAATCTAAGATTATGTTTTCACTTTCCTTCACTACCACCTCAGACTTTTCTCTGAGCAATCTCACCCACTACAAATGCTAATTTAGGTCCTCAGTCATAATCTGCCACTGAATTTCATTGCTACGGTCACATTTGCCTTCTGTTCCTCTGGTTCCCTACCTGTTCCTCAAACACCCCATGTTCTAAACAGATGTTACAATATTCACTTAACGCTTTCTTTTAAATTCTACATATCTGCTAATATCATCTTATAGTCACTAGGCTTTAAGGTTTAAAGTGATCTTTGTGGGGCACCTGGGTGGTTCAGTTGGTTAACCGTCTGACTTTGGCTCAGGTCATGATCTTGTGGTTCTTGAGTTCGAGCCCCACATTGGGCTCTGTGCTGACAACTCGGAGCCTGCTTCAGATTCTGTGTTCTCCCTCTCTGCCTCTCCCCCACTCATGGTCTCTCTCTCTCTCTTTCTCTCTCTCATCTCTCAAAATTAAATAAAAAAATATTTAAAAAAATAAAAAGAAATAAGATGATCTTTGTTCTAGTCCTTACACCTATCTCTGGCTTATCTTCATTGCTACCATTATTTGCTTCTTCTGCCTCTAGATATTTGACTTCTTTTTTGGAATATCATAGCTAAGTCAGTTGACACTTGAACAATGTAGGAATTAGGGGCACTGACACCCCATGCAAAAACCCGCCTGTAACTTTGACAACCCCACAACTTAACTACTAATAGCCTACTGTTGACTGGAAACCTTACCAGTAAAATAAACAGTTGATTAGTACATATTTTGTATGTTGTATGTATTATATTCTGTATTTTTACAATAAAGTTAGACAGAATAATATGTTATTAAAATCATAATGGAGATAAAATACGTTTATAGTACTGTACTGTATTTACTGAAAACAATCTTCATGTAAGTAGATCTGTACAGTTTAAGACCATGTTGTTCAAGGGTCAACTTTTAAAACCACCTTTCCAAAATCCTTCCTTATCTTTTAACAGAAATCCAATTCCTTAGCCTTGGTATTTGATATTCTCTAATGACTGCTTAAATGTTATAACCCATCAAAACTTCTGTTGCCTGGGTTTATGCCTTTGTTCCTCAGTAGCATCTTCCCTACTTGTGCTTCTCACTTTTACACCTACATGACCATGCAAAGCCATTCTTACCATACTATACTCTCTGTTTAACCTTGCTCCTGGAATCCCATCCAGCCTTCAAGGTCCAACCCAAGCATCACTTTTTAAATTTTTTTAAATGTTTCTTTATTTTTGACAGAGAGAGAGAGACAGAACATGAATGGAGGAGGGGCAGAGAGAGAGGAAGACACAGAATCCGAAGCAGGCCCCAGGCTCTGAGCCGTCAGCATAGAGCCCGATGCGGGGCTCGAACTCACAGACCATGAGGTCATGACTTGAGCCGAAGTCGGACATTCAACCGACTGAGCCACCCGGGCGCCCCCCAAACATCACTTTTTAGATCCCCTTTGTCCTTCATCTCTCTAGATATTAGAATTTTTCCCCTCCTCTGAAACAGTAAAATATTTTCTTTTGTCATTCATTGTATAATATATTGTATCTTCTCATCTCATTTAGGAGGCTTTAAGGTCCTTGAACATAGAGGCTTGTGGCATTCCTATTTATATTCTGCAGGATACTGAGTACACTCCCTTACTTAATAAAGCATATGTTAAAGGAATCCATTAGTTGAGAAGATCTCCCTCTCTTCCAAGGCGATTACTTATCACTAAAGTACACTGATAAAGTAATAAACTGTGTATCCTGGCTGAATACAAAGTAATTGCTATGCTTTTGCTAATTTCTCTTTCTCTCTCATCCAGTTAAAATGTTAAGAGAACACCTTCTCTGAGCCAAGCACAGGGAACAGGGATACCAAATCATGAGGACACAGTCCTTTCTTTGGAGATGTTTAGTGTCTATTAGACTGATGTGCATACAGATGACTACAATGTGAAATGAAACAAATTTTAGCTGAGAACTCATATGAAAAAAGTACTCCATATAGAAAAATTACTACCTAAGGAATGGGTTTATAAGCATGCTTTTTTTTTTTTTTAAATATTCTTTATAAAACGTTAAAAAAATTAGTTGCTTTCGTCCTTTTCTCTCTCTGGAACTTAGTATAGCAAATACAAGAATGGGTTTTCATAGGCAAGTCTCAAAATTATAAAAATCTTGCAGAAATAGTGCATTTACTCCCCATAAAGCTACTTAGGCTGTCTAACATCCATTTTGTTTGATTGGGTCTAGAATTTTGAATCACAGGTGAATGTAAGTTACAATATTTCAAATGGTGTTTACTTGGTGAAAACAATGTTTACAGACACCCCAAAAGGGGTTTGGTGTTTTCTTTTTTTTAGAAAAGGTTTGTGGTGAGTTATGCCTGCATTAAGAGGTGTGATCTTTGTTATAATCCATACCTAGTAGGTGCCCGGTATCTGTTGGCTGAATGATAACAGTTGGAGATCCCATCTGTCTATGCAGTTTTCTATGATTTAGGGATTTTCAAAATTCAGCTTTGGAAAGAAAAGGCTAGTTAAATATAGAAGAGTGCATGCTACTCTGGAGAATTTTAAATGTTCAAGTGGGCAACACAGAGCATTTTCTAAAAGTTAACTAAATTACACAGTATAATAATAAAAGAAGTCCGGTGGTATTATATAACTTTTAAATATTGATTATATTTCTAGGTTTTATCTCCTGTTAGCACTCAACCCAGACAGGAAAACGGGTACATTCTTTATGATTAGAAAGAACTCTTTTGCCATTAGACCATGCTAAATTGATAGTTTTTATAGCCTGACAAGAGACCGAGTCATCGTTACCTGGAGGGAAACACTTAAATCATCTGAAGATGGCTATTCTGTTCTGAAGGAGAGTTTGAGTTGACTGCTTGAGATTCTAACTCTCACTTCCCAGGTGGCAAGGGTTAGTTTTGCTGCGGAACTGACAGTTTCTACCCTCTGGGTGGGAAGATTAGATTGGGAAATGTATAGGAGGGGAGCTTGTCAAGGAAATTCAAGGAGCAGAGCTGATAAGTTCTAGAGGGAATTCTAACCTGGTCCTCTGATTGAATCATAAATGCTTATATTTTATGGACTTACACAAGTGTGGAGAAGATAAAGAGGAAAAAGCAGAAGAAAGAGCAAAGAGAAGAAGGCGTGGGAGGAAAGTATATCAGAAGAGGCATAAAACTCTATGGCTTGTCCAGCTTATCATTTGTTGAGTTGTGAACAAAATACCAATTTTGAGAGCAATTTTGGTGATGGCCGAAAAATTTTTTGAGACATTTCTTTAATGGTGATTCATGGAGCCTGAGTATCGGATTGCGTTAAAATTTCAGACTCTAGGAAATAACTTTTAACAAACAATAGAAATTCATTTTTATGTCTCCGGACTGGCTGCAACAGTTAAGTTCCAGGCAAGATAAAAATCCATGTGTGATTCTTATGATTCTCTTGTAAAAAAGAAACAACTAGTAAAGAAATGAATTGTCGGAGCGTGTGAATTTCTAATGGGTATGAAGTGGGATATGTAGTCATAAAGGGATTTTTCCCCCTAAAACCAGCCTATTATTTATATTTATACTTTTGCTGCTTAGAATCCATTGCTCCATAGTTAAAAAATTTGGTGCAGTTTGAAATATCTTCTTGAAGGCTTATTTATATTTCATATACAAATTTGTGTTTCTCCAGGCTTGATCATCATTTGGAATGTTTCATATTGGTTATATGTCTACCCTTTTGCACTGATAACATTATAGGTGAAATAGACTCTTAAACCAGTATTTTCTTCTATTATTCTAAATATTTATATTGATCACATGTTTTATGTGGACATATGGCTACATCCAGCCTCTAAACAAAGCATTCAGGAAATAAAAACAATTACCCCGGTAAAATACAGGTAGCTGACACTCATATCACAGTTACTGTTCCTCAGACTCAGTTTGCCTTACATATATCAATTCATGTAAGCTTCAGAACAATTACATTAAATAAGGGCTATTATTGCCTACACGTTACAAGTGAGAAAAGTGAGAAACAGAAAGGTTAAAAAATTTTCCTAAGTAAACGTGGCGAGAGTCAGAGACAGGATTTGAATCCAAGCGTCTGAATACTTGGTACTCCCTACTCTCCACTTCTACAGCTCTTTTAGTTGAGCCAGGGGTAGATGCGTAGCTATGTTACTGCAAAGCTATATTTTAATACGATTATTTATTGATGTGGGTATCCCTCCCTTACTAGATTATGAGCTTGTAAGAACAAGAACTATGTTTTATTAACTTTGTCATATACAGTGCTCAATAAAATTTTTATTACTCCTGAATTACGGCTTATTATTGCCTTGAGATACTCTGTCCAGAAGACTGTACAAGAGAAGTCACTGGTTTTATAACCACAGAACTTTTAGATCTGCAAAACAAAATATTTAATTGTTATCTGTAAGTGGGGCACTGTATTCATGATTCTTTCATTTGTTTTCTATTTCTAAGAGTATAATAGCATGAATGAAATAGACTTTTTGATTAATATAGGATAATTTTAGAGTCATTTTACTTGATTGACATTTTTTCTCTTCTTTTCTCTTTCTCTCTCTCTCCTTTTAATACTCTTTCTTACAGGGTGCTGCTCTAATTAGAATGCTGGCTAATTTTATGGGCCATTCTGTATTTCAGAGGGGTTTGCAAGTGAGTAAAATGCTTTCTATTTTGTCGTACATTTTCCTCGTCAATATATTTATTTTAAAGATATTTCACAGTTTGGGAAATTGCCAATACAAAATCGCCGAATTTGATGGAAAACTTGAAGATGAGTAAGGTGAACAATGTCCTTCCATATGACAAATGAAAGTGGTAGATAGGATTCTCACTGTATCAACTGGGAAAACTTTGAACTACTGTGCAATTTAGATCTGTTTAATATGCATTTTTAAGTTGAAATATTTTTCAAATATATGAGATTCTAAATAATCGGTATAAGATTTTCTAAAAGCCTACTTCACTTTCCTTAAATTTGAAAGTTTATTTAAAGTGAAAATAAATTATGTTAGCTTTACATATATTTGAGAAAATCTTAATGCAATTTTTCAGATATTTGCCTTTTATGTTGTTGTTTTACTGTTGATATGATAAAATGTTATTTGTTCCAAAGCTGTTTAAATGTTTTTAAAATTAGAAGTACAATGTTTTAAATAAAGGAAAAAAAAAAAAGAAGCAGTGTTATCATACTGCATTTAAAGTATGAAGTATGGAATCTAAGAGTAGATTCTTAAAAAAGAGGATTCTTAAACTCTTTAATGCAAACACAAATATAGAAAAATATAACTTTTATTCCATTGAATCTGTCGGAGTAAATCATGTTCCTAGCAGCTGTGATTGATGAATTATTTATGATGCATTCTGCTACTTAGAAGTGTCCTTTAAAGTAAATTGATGTTCACCTGAAATACAATTATGCTAAGACAGAGAGAGCAATCAATCTTATCTCTTCTTTGTAAAGCTTTTCATTTTGAAATTTAAATAAACTACATATGGGATTAGGTCATATTTTAGTATAATTCTATCTTTGCCCAAAATGAACGAAAAGGTAAAATGCAAAGCAAGAGTTAAATATGTTACGACAAAGCTACATATACTTAACACAACAAAGAAAAAAATATTTAAATTTGTTGAAGAATGATTTCCTTTAGAAAATATTCTTACAGATTTGTTTCAGCAGGGGTTGAAATTTACTTTAATCAGCTCTTTCCATTAGGGACACCTTCAGAATAGCTGAATTCTATTGAACCTAATTGCCGGGTGCTAGAGTCTCCATTCTGATCACATAGTTGGGAAAATCTTTTTTCTCAAAGAGTGCCCTCCGTGAATATCAACTGTCTGGAGGAATGTCCTTCCTATCCCCAATCCTATGTTTTTTTCCCACTGAAGTTGTAGACTGTGACAGTTCCAGAAAATATCTAAGCTTTCATTAGGGCAACACAAATTGAATTTGATTTCCTGGTAGCAAGTTGATGTGAAATCATTTTCTGTATAAAATTTTTATTGTTTTTCCTCGTCTGTGTGTATGGATTTGCTCAGCAGATTGAATAACTCTAGTTATATTATTTGGAAAGGATTATTTTTTTGTAAAATTTTTCTTTACCCTGTCGTATTTTTGATAGTATACAAAAGACATCAATTTTTAATAAACCCTTTTCTACTGACCCAGACTATTTAGTTTTTTCAGAAACAGAGGGTACCCTCTGACTCCTATTATATTAAACTTTTATTTGAAGCTTGTATTAGTGTGTGCCTTTATGCTCTGATACTTGATTTGGTTAATTTTCAACTGAGGGGACTCTATGTTTGTCAACATTGCATTTCATTTACCTTGTGACATCTCATTGATCAGATGGATCTGTATCCTTCAGGACTTCGCTTGCAGCTTTATTTATACTCATCACTCAAACTGATTTAGTGTATCATCAGCAGTTTGGATTAGTTTACAGTAGATCCCTATGTCTAGGTGATAAATTATCATCTCTTGTGCGTGAAGATTTATGGGATACATTTTGGAAATGACCTCCTGAACAGACACTTCATGTCGTGGTGCTGAGTGGTCATAGAGTTGATATTAATATATTTCCCATCCACAAGGCTCTGGGGAGTCTTGGTTGACATGTTATAGGAGCTAATCTGGACTTTCAATGCTTCCCTCTGCTTGGGAAATCTATTAATTGTTTTTACATTAACCATGGCTTTTCTATGATGACAAGTGAAGGTTTATATTGCAGACAGACCCATAGTTAGATTTACAGGTGTGGTCAATCCCAAATTGCAAATGGGATGCTTTTCATATATATTTTTCCCTCATTTCTTTTTTTCCTTCCTCCTCTTTTTCTTTCCTTTCCCCTCCTCCTTTTTTCCTTCAATTTATTTGTTTGTACCTTTCATGTTCCACATAGGAGCAATGTTATAATGGTGATTTCTTTTAAAATCTATCTAAAATTTAAAATTTTATCTAGTAAGCTAGATAAAAAATGTTATTAAGAAGATCATAAGGATGAGAAAATATATTCATAATACTGTACTATAAAGAATCCACATATAAGTGGACTTGTGCACTTCAAACCCATGTTGGGTTTGAAAACCCTTGAGGGTCAACTGTATATATTATATAATATACACAATATAAAATGTTAAATCTAATATAAATTAAGATATAATAAATACAGATATAATATAATTTATAAATATAATATTTATATATTAAATATAATAAAAGTAATATAGAAAGGTAGTAGGTTTCTGGAAAGTTTCTAGATCAGTTCAGATGTTCATATTTAACTTGCAAAGTATCTGAATATCAATTCAACTATATTCATCTACCTTTCATATTGTGTTCTTATATATATATATTTTTTTTAGTTTAAAAAGTTTGAGATTTTGAGTTTATTTATTTTGAGAGAAAGAGAGAGAGAGACAGAGGCAGAGATACAGGGAGACAGAATCTCAAGCAGGCTCCGTGCTGTCAGCATGGAGCCCGATGTGGGGCTCAATCTCACCAACTCCAAGATCACGCCCTGAGCCAAAATCCAAGAATTGGATGCTCAACCAACTGAGCCACCCAGGCACCCCTGGGAAATATATTCTCAATTTCAGTACACATATATATTCCTCAGTAGAAAGGGACTCTAGAGACTTTTTGAGAAAAGTTTTGTTCCTAACAATCATATAATTCATTTGATCAGCTATTAGGAAGTCTAATAAATAGTTTCATACAGAATAATCACGACTTTCTTTGGTTTGGTCATCTTATTTTTTTTTGTCTAATTCCCTTATTTCTCGAATTTTATTTGATGCTTAAATGGTTCAGTTTAGTACAATTTTAAAATAAATTGCCTCAAAACTTCTTTTTGTAAATAGTATAAAAAATTAGTTCTGGCTACCATTAATATGTCAGCTTCTGTTTTGATGTTTAAATTGAAAGTGAAATGTGGAGAAAACCAAGCATTAACCCTCGTTGGATTATGTATGCTCTCATAAATAATATATTTTTAAAACATAGAAATGTTTATGTTTTTTCAGACTCCACATATCTACTGCTTTACATAATCCATTTCCCAGAATAATAGCTGGTGTATTTTGGAAGCATGAGGCAATGGAAATGATTATCATTTCTGTTTTTAATCAATGGTGGGGCTTTCTACAAGTCACTAAATCTTTCCTGGATTTGTAAAATGCAAGAGTTGTACTGAATACTCTCTGAGATTTTTCGTCTTTCAGACTGTCCAAATGTAAGGTTTATTTAATGCATTTTACTAGTTAGACAATTTGGGTTTGATACTTTAATTTGGGACATCTATTTTAATTTGATGGGAAAATTTGTAAACTAGATATACAAAAGTGAGTGATTCCCTGTTCTTGAATCTTTAGTTATTATCTGAATATTAAGACTATATGGCCTTCAACGTACATAGTACTGTAGCTATAGTCAAATCAGACCAGCATTTGCTATGACAGAGAATTTTTGCTGGTGATGTTTCTTTTTACCCACTACTAAGAAACTGATTATATTTCTCTTGCTTTTTTGTTATTTTTCATATTATGTTACATTTTCATATTTTGCTCTGGATACATTACATGTGCATACCGTTGTCTCAGATGACATTTTCTAAGGACTTTTTGAAATTTCTTGGCGATTTTTAGTGTATATGCTATCTTTTCTAAAGTCAGAATTTTTTAAAAAATTTATTTATTTATTTTGAGAGAGAGAGAGCCAGTACACCCAAGTGTGAGTGGGGGTGGGGGAGAGAAAGAGAGGGGGAGAGAGAGAGAGAGAGAGAGAGAGAGAGAGAATCCCAAGCAGTCCCTGCACTGTCAGCACAGAGCCTGATGTGGGGCTTGAACTCAGAAACCATGAGATCATGATCTGAGCCAAAATCAAGAGTTGGATGCTTAACTGACTAAGCCACCCAGGTGCCCCTAAAGTCAGAATTTCTGCTTGTATTCCTGAAATTGGCTGGAATCAACTGTACCTGTGGGTCTGATGGCATTGAAGTGAATTGGAGGTTTGTCTTAAGGAGAATCGGTATCCCCCTTGATGAGTGTTATTATAAGGGAATCAAACTAGTGGTAACTAACTTTTTCAGAGGCTAGAAGAGCTGCTTTTGATGTCAAGGAAAGTTCAGTGGAATTTAGACTTTCAAGGTCCCGATTCCAATTCTCTCCTGTCTAGTCAGAAATAGACTTTGATCCCAAAGACTTTGTAATTCTGTATTCTCTGATAATGTTCTATTGAAGCAATATTTGTCTATTGAAGTATGTTCTTCAATTTAGATAATTGTATATAATTATTTAAGAAAATTTGACCATGAATTTGACCATAGATTACCATCCAATACGGATGGAAATTTCCCATCTCTGAGGGTCTTTTCCTGGAATATACCACTCTTTTTTTTTTTTTTTTTTAATTTTTTTTTCAACGTTTATTTATTTTGGGGACAGAGAGAGACAGAGCATGAACGGGGGAGGGGCAGAGAGAGAGGGAGACACAGAATCGGAAACAGGCTCCAGGCTCCGAGCCATCAGCCCAGAGCCCGATGCGGGGCTCGAACCCACGGACCGCGAGATCGTGACCTGGCTGAAGTCGGACGCTTAACCGACTGCGCCACCCAGGCGCCCCAAGGAATATACCACTCTTGATGCCT